GAGTGGGAGTGGTGTGCAGACAGACAGACAGACCCCCCCCAGTGGGAGTGGTGTGCAGACAGAGGTCCCCCCCCCCGAGTGGGAGTGGTGTGCAGACAGACCCCCCCCCTGGAGTGGGAGTGGTGTGCAGACAGACGCCCCCCGGGACTGGGAGTGGTGTGCAGACAGGTGTCCCCCCAGCAGTGTACACACAGATGCCTCCAGGAGCGGCCTCGTCCCAAAGCTCTGGAAGCCCAGAGCAGCCCCAGGTGCCTTCTGCTCAGCGCCCTCCTCAGAGGTCAGGCCAGGTAGCCATCATGGTGACACTGCTGGCCAGTGGCTGGTGGGCTCTTTGCCTCCAGCTCTGAGGGCAGCCAGCATCACGCTTCAGGAAAAGGTTCTTCCCGCAGCCTTCTAGCCGGTTCTTCGGAGCACAGGGCTTCTCTTCCCTGGTCTTTTCCTCTCTGTTTTTTTGCCTGGGGAGGCAGCCTCAGGAGACCCACAGTGCTCCTCTCTGAGCTGTGGTCATCGTTGTGCAGAGGCCCTTGGGGACCTGAGCTACGAAGGGTGGCAACTGCTTGTCATTCCCATCTCTGCCCCCATCAGGTGGTCACAAAGCGGCCTGCACCTGCATGGTGCACAGCCCCCTCCCCCGTATTTGTATAGCCTCACACCCTGGGGCAAGCTGTCCCATGTGCACTTGGACTTCCCGCTCTGTACTGCACATGGGGTGGGTGGGTTCTTGGGTATGGCTGCTTCTGTTCTGCTGCTCCTTATACAGGACAGAGCCCCTAGGCCGGAGAAGCCACAGCTGCCACTTTGTGGTGGGAGGTTGGGCCTTCTGTCTTCTAAGGCTGTGTAACAAATTGCCGTCCATTAGCGCTGAGCACCACACAAATGTGCCATCTCAGTTTCCCACCTAGGGTTCCCCAGTGGAAGTCGAGGTGCTACCCCTGACAGCGTCTGGGGATTGACCTGTTGGGTTTTATCCTGCATGGGTCTGGCTTCACAGCCATGTGGCTCTGGTTCTCGGCCTCCCCCTCCGTGCAACGCCCTGTGCTGCTTGCAGTCTCTGTAGAGCGTCCAGGTCCTGTCTGACGCGGCATCCTGGCCTCCAGAACTGGAGGCTGAGTAAACCTCCACACATATAGCATATGCTCAGGCTCGGGCCTTCAGCGAATGGAAGAGGGTGTAAGAGCGCGGTGAGTCCCGAGCAGGGCTGGGGCTAGGCAGGGCACCTTAGCGTGTGCCCTCGCACTTACCGGCCGCTGACATCAGGCCTGGATCAGCAGGGCTCCAGTGGCCGCGTCAGGCACACCTGGATGGGCCCCCTGAGAAGCGGCTGTAGTCACCCTTGGCTCCGCGTGGGATGTGGCTTCCCATCAGTCATAGGCCGGGCCTCGCTGCAAGGCTGGCACCAGCCGGTTCACCCCAAGTAGGGGCTTGGGACCGTTCCCAAATCCCACTGCCAGATCTGCCCTTGGAGGATTCCACGCAGGCAAACTGAAGAGTGCCCCCTCTAAGATTGTGTAAACTCACCTGTTGCATTGAGGTGGTAGCTATTTTAATCCGTATCGATTTATTTTTGTTAGTTTTACTTTTTGCACCATCAGAGATCCAGCCCCAGAGCTCTCCCATGGGAAGCGGCACTCTGCTTCTGAGCTACATCTCCAGCGCCGCTCCCCACTGCAGAGTGGATGGCCCTGCCTTGCACAGCCATAGCCTGGGGAGGGCTGGAGCCAGGGCGTCCATCGCCAGGGAGGCCTGGGGTCCTCTACACCGCTGAGCCTGTGGGTGGAGAAGAGTGTCATGCCTCCTGCACACCTGAGAACCAGGCCCAGGGGCCAGGAGGAAGCGGAGGTGGTCCCAGGTCAGCTGAGCTGGACAAAGGACTGCAGGTTCAAGTTCAGCCTGGGCAAGTTATTGATTTAGTGAAACTTTGTCTCAAAATAAAAAGTTAATAAAAATTCTGGGGATGTAGCTCAGTGAACAATCCTGGGTTCAATTCAATTACTGGAAAATACACACTTATACATAATAAAATAGAGGCTTTATATATATGTACATATATTTATATATAATAAAGCAGAGTCTTGTGTAGTAGCTCAGTAGTGGGCCACTGGTTGGGCATGACAAGGCTCTGGGTTTGATGCGTTCTTTATTTTGCTTTTTCTGAGATGGGGTCTAGCTGTGTAGCGCAGGCGGGCTATGAAGCACGCTTTCCGCCCCTACTGCTCAGGAGGATGAGGCAGGAGAGGGGTGCATTGTAGGCCAGCCCGTGCAAATTAGTGAGACGCTGTGTCAGAATAAAGAGGGCTGGGGGTATAGCTTGGTAGTAGCGCGCCCCTGCATTTGAGCCCCAGCTCCAAAACACAAACCACCCCGGACCTTCCCTGAATGCTTCGCCTCATGCTGGCTGCAGAGGTGGGACTTCTAGAGGACTCAGACGCTGCCTGCAGTGATTGTTCTGAACATGGGCTGTAGCACAGCCGGCAAGCTGAGGCTTTACGACCACAAAGCAGACCGCAGCTGGCTCTGGGAGGAGGTTCGTGCATACAGTGCCGTCAACATGAGCAGAACAGTCAGCCCGCTCAGCCGCAGAGCAGCTGCTTCCCATTGCCAAGGCCTAGGGTGAGTCCCAGGACACCTGTGTGCGGCTCCTTGGAGCCGAGGCTGCCCTGTTCCCTTGAGGACAAACATCGCTTTTTCCTGTGGTGAAACAGTGACTCAGCTCTGGTCAGCGTTCTTCTGAAGGACAGCGCCTTTCTGGTCGCTTTGTACTTTCCACGAGCCCAGGAAGGGGCTTGGGAAGGAAGAAAGTCTAAAAAGCGGGTGAATGCTTAGAACAATATAAAGTCAAGGTCTGACCTTTGGGAAAGGCCTTTGAACACATTAAAATGCTTTAATCTGTGCAGCATCAAGGCTGCCCATCTCTGTTCTCGGAAACAGTCGGATGGGCAGTGGGACAGCAGGAAGGTCAGGCAGTGGAGTGCCACTTCTATGCTATATCCGGAGGAGCCAGCTTCGGCGCCAGCCCTGTGCCCACTGCCCACCCTGTGCCCGCTGGCCACCATGACGAGCAGCCACAGACTGCTTTGCTTGTAGCAGTGGGGCTTGGGGGCTATGGGCCCCAGCAGTGCTGTCTGGTGGCTGAGCTGTGCCTTGGATTTACCTCCAGTGAGTGCACATAAAAGGCCATTGTGGGGACACTTCCCTTCAGCGTCTGGGGTCTGCGGCCCAGGGCTCTTCACATTCCCAGGTTTCCTTCACTCCCCTGTGGAGTGGGTGGAGAGGGAAGTGGTGGCGGCTGCTTCCTCGTGTCCACGGCTGGGGCTCGGGTGGACATGGCCAGACAATGCACATGCAGGACCCAAGCTCACAGCCGGAACTCTCTGGGAACTGGTCAGGGAGGACAGCAAGGACACTCAGCCAGAAGGCTGCACTTTGCACACAGTGGGGCTCCATGTCCCTGCCGAGAGCAGCTGCCAGGTGCCACTGGTGAGCTTCGTTCCTGCGACACCGTGTGTTGAGGTCATTTCCGGCTCCTCCCTCACACAAAGATGAGCAGAACTGGTCTGGTCACTCCGAGGACAATGGAACCGAGGCCACCATGCAGTATAAAGTAAGCCTGACTCGGGAAGTTAAAATGGCGCATTCTCTCTTCCAGGGAAGAAAAGAAGTACGTGCACCGCTTCTGGAAGGAAATCAACGTGGGAGACTTTGTACGCCTCCGCTGTAATGAGGTCATCCCCGCAGACGTCCTGCTGCTGTCCTCCAGCGACCCCGACGGGCTGTGCCACATTGAGACCGCCAACCTGGATGGGGAGACCAACCTAAAGCGGCGCCGGGTGGTGCGTGGGTTCTCGGAGCTCGTAAGTGGCCCTGCGGTCAAGGCGTCCCAGTGACTCTGCACCCATCCTGCCCAGCGCGATTACTCTCCCAGTCTCCAAGACTGAGGGTGTAGAGGGCCTGAGCCTTGGAGCCCGTGACCACCTGCCTGTGGGCTCAGGACACCGCGCCATGTGGCTCAGAATGCTACTTAGAGTTGCCGCCACTGGTCCTTCCATTGCTGGCATTTGCCAGAGGACTGCAAGTTTCCAGGGGGCAGTGCGGCAGCAGTCACGGTCTGCTCCCAGTGCATAGTGAGGGAGCATTCTCTCCTAGGGACTTTGTGGTCTTGCAGCAGTTGTTCTGTGGATGCGTTCTGCCTCTGATAAGCCCTGGCCACACGCTGCGGGATGAGAAGGAGGGTCCCAACAGCCACACTCACAGGCAGGCCCTGTGGCCAGGAAATGCAGGGCTCCAGGGCCCCAGCTCTCTGTTAGCTCCCCGGTGAGAAAGGGCCGCACCCCCAGCCAGTGCAGGGTACGCACCATCCAGAGACCAGACCGCAAGTGCCCAGAAACCAGGGCGCGTCTTCCTGATGGGGGTGGGGGTGGCGGGGCACAGACCATGGGAAAGAAAGAGCATGCTGAAGACTCGCAGTAGGCCTCTGCCGGAGCCTGTGCGTGGCGTCCACGAGGCTCTAAGGGTGGCCCCAGCGGACGGGCTGCTGGTCTCCCATGGGGCAGCATGGACACCTGCAGACGCCGGCCGGTCCTGGGAGGCGGCCCTGTCTGCCGCGTGGGGCTTGGGTGCTGAGTGCACCAAGACCAGGGCTGGGGTGCTGAGTGCACCAAGATCAGGGCTGGGGCAGTGTCTCCGGACAGCTGCATCCCTAGACGGGAGCCCTGCTCCCAGGTGTGAGGGGGAGGAGAGGATGGCTCAGAGGGTCTGCGCCGCGCTGCAGCCGGCACCTCTGGGCTCCTGGCTGTCCTGAGCTCAGAGGCAGAGAAAGTCCACTCGGCCACATCCCAGAGAAGCATGGAGGGCCAGGCGGTAGCGGAAGTGCACACAGGCCGTGGCTAGGCACTCCGGGGAGTCTTCCCCGCATCCTGCAGGGTGCCTCCATGCTCCATTGATGGACTCTTATGGGGCACAGAAGCCTAGCTCGCTCCAGCACCTGTTCTGACAAGGCCCAGGTTCACTTCTGGGCAGTCAGGGAGCTCCTGTTAGGGCCCGGGGCTGGAGGGCACTGGGGTCCGGGAGGCTCCAGAAGGAGGAGATGGGCGCCCCATGGATGGCCAGAGTACAGGACGTGGGCACCAGGGGTTTCAGGCACCGACCAGGCGAGAAGGCTGCTGGGGGGTGGCATTTCGTGAGCAGCACAGCTTGAAGCGCACAGCGCGGAGGGGTGGGAGAGGCCAGGCAGTGACGGGCGAGCCCAGCAAGGCCCACACTGCAGGGCAGGGATCGGCCAGCCGGCGGTGGCCCCAGTACTGCAAATGGGATTCGATCAGATTGAAAGCCTTCTGTGCCCTGAGAGAATCCATTAGCAGAGAGAACAAACAACCTGCAGAATGGGAGGAAGACCCCCAGGTGCTCTCAGAGGGAGGACCGATGTCTCGAATACACAGAGAACTCAGAAACAGCAAACTCCCTAAGAGGATGGGTCCAATGAAGCCAGACCAGGAACGTGCACAGAGACTTCTCGGAGCAAGAAATGCAAATAAAGGGCCCACAAATGTGTGAAAAACAGTACCTCTGGCCGCTAGAGAAATGCAAGTTGAGAGGCTGCTGGCTCCACCTCACTCCAGAGAAGCAGTGTAATCCTTCAGAAATCAGGCAGGGATAAACACTGGTGTGACCATGGTGAAGAGGAGTCCCCGCTGCATCGTGGGTGGGAACGTGGACCAGAGCAACCGATATGGAAATGGTGTGCGGATTTCTCCAAGAACTGAAATTAGAAATGCCATGTGACCCGGTGATCCCCCCTGCACATCTCCCCAGAGAATGTAAGATGTCATTCTGTAGGGACACACACGGGCAGCACAGTTCGTCATAGCTCAGTCCTGGAAGCAGCTGGTACACCACCCAACAGATGACTGGATAAAGACAAGGTGGTATCCACACAGAGTGGAACGCTAGTCAGCTCTAAAGAATGACAGCGCTGAGACAGGTGTAGGGTCGTGGATGCACCTGGAAAGTGCAGTGTTGAGTGAAACAGACCAGACACACAAGCTCAAACGCTCATTTGAGTGAGGCAAAGTACAAAAAAAGAGAATGATGAAGGGTGAATAGAAAGGGACAAAGGGGTGGATCTCTTGACATAGGGACAGGGTCCAAGAGGACAAAGACAAGGAGAGAGAAGGACAGGAAGAGGAAAATGAGAGGACAAAGATGCACTGTGTGCAAATCCCTAGTGACTGTAATTAATGTAAGAACTATGTCCCATAACCTGGGCATCAACCAGAATGAAAACCAGGATGGGGAACTGGAGAAGGAAGGAGGGAGGGCAAGGGGGTTTTCAAACACAAAAGAAGTGCCAGGCACATGTCACCGTTCCCCCAGATGCTTGCAAACTCTTCAAACTGCAAGTGTATCCACAAAGAAGTCCCATGGGATGCGGTCATTATCTTCCACCCAGAGAGAGAGAAAGGCTGAACCAGGCAGCCCTCATGGTGCCTCCCAGGGTCCCCACCCACCAGTCAAGGTGGCGCCTCTAGCACGCAGGTTTTGTCACATCCTGGGTTGTCACAGAGAGCTCCGTGGCACCTGGATCTCCCTCCTGCTCCAGACACCTCCTGACTTCTGTCTCCCTCCCCCACGGTGTGTTTCCTGAGGACCTGTGCAGCGCTGTCCTGGGTGTGGGCCAGGCAGAAGGGCTCGCTGGTGTGCCTGCTCCTCGGGGGACGAGTAGTGGGTAGAAGGTGAGGTGATGCACGCTGGGTGTCTAAGCAGAGGCCGCAGGAGGGCCAGGCGGGCTTTCCGAGGAGAGTCCAGAGCACAAGCCGCGTGGTCGTCCGGACGGTGCCCAGGACACGACTTCTGAGGTGACTTTTACAGCCCGAAGCTGTCCTCAAGCCGTGCCACACCCACAGCGCTGCCCTGAGTGGTGGCTGCTGGGCTTCTCAGGAGAGCTGGTGCTGGCTCTTCACCGGAGTGCGCTTGCCCATGTGCGTGTGCACGCATGTGGATGTGCACACCTTTGTGCATGGGTGCTGGTGTCTTTGCTACACGAGGAGAAAAGATGAGCAGACGCAGGAGCTTTCACCAGCTGGAAAGGGTTCCGAAGCAGCCGCAGGCAAGCATTTGCCGAGGGCGTTACTCCGCAGATCTCCGCAGTGACGCGGCTGCGTCTGATTGTGCACGTACCGCCCGCTGCTGCAAGGCCGCCTCCTCTGTGCGGAGAGCCAGGCCTGCCCCAACTGCTTAAGGGAATTCCTGGGGCTTAGAAAAAATAACTTTAAAATTTCAGATGTGGAAGAAACAGGTTTTTTTGAACAAATTTCTACAGACGCATGCTCCCAAAATTGTCCCTGCCACAAAAAAGCTGGGGGCGGGGTTGGTATCTGCAGCTTATGCCAGAGTTTGTGTGGTGAAGCTTTCAGAACAGTTAGTCTTAATTAACCGAAGCAGTGTGCTGGGGTGGGGGGAGGGCAGACCAGGAGCGCAGCGTGTCGTCGGCGTGCAGAACAGGGCAGCGGCTCCGGGGGTTAATCAGATCGGTCAGCGTCGATCAGCCTTCACCGAAAGATTTATGGTTCTCCGTTACATATTGCAGTGAAGTCAACGTGCCCATAAATTAAACTGTAATACATTTTCATTCCTGAATTTAACTATTTTATAATTTTTGGAAGATACTAACAGAAGAGATAGAAATTGCATTGAGAAAGCGGTGTGTGCGTGTGTGCGTGCGTGTGTGTGTAGAAGTGGTCATTCTTTTCTTTTAATAGTGAAAAGACAACCGTAACAATAACTGGTTTTATTCTGTGTAAGGTGGTATGAGATGTGAAACGCTATTTTTCTTTTTAACTATATTCTACTTATAGAAGGGAAAACTTTAATTAGATTACAGCTTTTCTACACATAGTCCAGTTTCACTAACAACTGTAAAGGGTGTCGAGGCTCTGTGTGTGTGTGTGTGTGTGTGTGTGTGCGCGTGCGCGCGCGCGCGCACGTGTGTACAGCAGGACTTCCTGTACCAGCAGGACGGGCTGGCCCCGTGATCTGTCCTGCTGGGCACTGAGCTTCCGCTTAGGGGTGAGCGCGGGAGTGTCGCTCCCGTGCAGGCGGATGGAGCCTCGGGTGCGAGGGAGGGTATTCCGCAGAAGAAGCGAGAGAAAGCGCGACTGCCTTAGCAGCCTGTCGCTTCGCCTTGTCGTTCGATTTAGGCGGACATCAGTCACCCCAGGGGCTCAGACTCCGTCCTAGAAAGAGTCGATCAGCCAGGGCTGCTGCTGGGGCATCCGGAGTCTGCAGCCGGTCACTGGCCTCCGCGGGGTTCGGGCCCTGGAGGAGGGGGTGACCCGGAGACGCGCATGGACCTGGCGGAGCTCAGAGCACTCTGATGAGTGTTAGTGCCTGGCCTGGTGGTGTTTCCGTTCCACTCGTCTGGTGGCAGCAGAAAGGAGCGTCTGTCTGTCCCTGGCGCACAGCCCGGACTGGAGCCCACTCCCGGGCCTTGGTGGCGTCTGAGCTCACGGAGCTTCCTCCTTTGCTGCTGCGTTGCTGGGCATCCACGTCCCCTGTCACCAGGCAGTCCCGGGAAGACAGAGCACGCGGTTCTGTGGTCCTCAGTGGGAGGCGAGGTCGGCTCTGGCTTGTGTCTGAGTGCTGCCGGGAGGCTGTCCTCCCTGGGTGACAGGAAAGGGGCATCGCAGGGTCCTGTGCCTCGGTGCTTTTACAGTAAGGGCAGTGTAGACGGGCCCTCCTAAGGCAACAGCGTGCTTTCAGAAGTTACCTGCTTGGACGTGGCTGTCGTCACTCCCCAGCATGTACGTTGGGTTTAATACTGAATTAGATTCAGGATGTGTCGCTCATGCTCGTGAGT